TCTTAAGAGGATTTATACTTAACTTTTTGATTATTTGAGGAAGAAATAATTGTTAGTTTTCAAACAGGAACTATGTTAAATAAAATCTATGAATATGTATAGCCGATTTATGAACCTTCTTATCTCACATGCTCCAACAACTTTATTAGGTCTGCATGGAAATTCTTAACACATACTTGACAAAAGCTTTCCAACAAAATGATGATAAAATCCCCTGGAGCAGTCTCAAGTATCTTATTGGTGAGGTGAGTGCCTACCACGTCACTATGGAACACTTGATGGTAGAAGAATCCAGATAAATTAAGCTTTCTTTCTGCGCGGGCTGTATCATCAAGTCAAGCTGCCTGAGAATCTCTCCTGGGCAGTCTTGAAACTCCCGTGTAGCCCTGAGCAAGTCACTTAATCTCATGATCGCAATGAAATAGAGCCATTGTGTGTAACTGCACAACAGGGGAGTTACGGTGCTTAATTAATTTTGAGTGTGAGCGCCCTCGGGATCCTCTGGTGAAAGGGACTGAACAGCACAACTTCACAGTATTATTAGAACGGTGGAGTATTACTGATATGAGAGCTGCACAGATATTTCCAAAGCTCTTGCAGTTCTTTACGTGACATGTGCTGTGCAATAGCTGGCCAGTTCAGTGTAGCTGCTGTGACATGAAATCCTGCAGAAAGCTGTTATTTCGCAGCACTTAATCACAGCCAGATGTGAGCTGGTACCTACGGAAGGTACCGCTGCACATAAATCGCCAAGGCTGGTTGTGAGGGGTGTCCGGAGCAGCCATCTCCAGACCAAATCCAAGTAGGTCCTGCTTGTTCCCCCTTGAGAGGCAGCGAGAGGCGGTGGACTCGGTGTCCCTTAAGGGAGATGCTGTTACACCATGCAGTCACTGCAAAAGCAAAGAGTATTTTGGACCTTTCAGCGATTATTAACTGTATTTTCTGCTCCAAAAGCCAGTGCTATAATATTGATGTAACTGATTTCTAGGTCATGTATGGCGGACGTGCAATTGATAGCTTTGATCGTCGCATTCTGTCCGTCTATATGGATGAGTACCTTGGTGATTTCATATTTGACACATTCCAAGTGTTTCATTTTTATAAAAACGACATGGTTGATTATAAAATTCCACAAGGGACTGTAAAAGATGACTTTGTTGGTAAGAAATGCTTTTCCTGCCACGTAAGTTAGCGTTAAAAAGAAATAAAAATCTACTTACAGCATACATTCTTTCCATATGTCCATTGCTGGATATGAGAAATTGAAAGGAACTTCTTTGGGCATCGCAAGTGTGCGTATTGCAAGGTTATAATCCACTGATGATACTGTTCTTGCCCTTTGTAACGTTAGCTTACCAGCAAGCTCCTGATTTCTTTAAAAAAGAATTAAATCCCCAGGTAAACAAGCATGTTAATTTTGTTATTAAGTGATACATTTCCATGGGGTGTGTGTGGGGGGGGTGTATTTCATGCTTAAAAAATGTTTATTTCATCCTTGCAGTGTTTCAACACCAGCTACAGCATTTTTTTTCAAGCAGAGCACTAACAGAAATACATTTTTGCCTGGTAGCTGTGGTTTAATGTATCGCATCTTTAGGCAGCGTGTTTCTGTGTTGCAGAGGCAATAGAATCTCTGCCGCTCGCTAATACTCCAGAGGTATTTGGTCTTCATGCAAATGCTGAGATTGGGTATTATACACAAGCAGTTCGCGATATATGGTCTCATCTTCTTGAGCTGCAGCCTCAAACAGGTATGCACGTTCTCCCTTCCTCCGAATTGTTTTTGTAACTAAGCAGTAAGGAGGCGGCGAGCGCCGTGCGGTGGGGACGGCGGTGCCAGCGGTGCCGCAGGGGCCGGGGGCTGGCGGGGCCGGGGACGTGGTGCTGCCGGCGTGGGGACGGGCACGGCGGGATTGCCACGGCCCGGCAGGGACAGGGAGGAGACGCCGATGCCAGAAGAAGGGTCAGCTCTCAAAGTCCTCTGAGAATTGATAATAGAAGGGGGCAGCCTGTGCGGATTTAGTCTCACTAAACCATTTTGGTTTCAGGTGAAACTGGTGCGGGAATTAGTCGAGATGAATATATTGCCAATGTTGCTAAGGATATCCAAAGCAAAATACCGCAAGTATTCAATCTTGACCAGATACGGAAAAGTTTTGGGCCAGACATATCCCCTATGACTGTGGTGCTGTTGCAGGAACTGGAGCGTTTTAATAAGCTGATCATTCGAATGGCGAAGTCGCTGGCCGAACTACAACGCGTAAGTAGGGGCACAGCTACTGCTGCTCCCGGGCAGCCCGGCTCTCCCTGCCCAGCCCGGCACTCAGACTCTCACCGTCTCTCCAGGCCTTGGCGGGGGAGGTTGGAATGAGCAGTGAACTGGATGATGTGGCTCGGGCTCTCTTCAACGGACACATTCCCGGCATCTGGCGGCGGCTAGCCCCCGACACACTCAAAACACTTGGAAACTGGATTATTTTCTTTAGAGCTCGGTATAACCAGTACAGCAGCTGGGTAAGCGAGTGCCTCCAGACAGCTTTTTGTTAATCTGCATGCTACACTGTGCAAATTGGCACAGAACTCAGTGAACACGCAGAGCTCTGGATAAAGTTACTTGAGCTAATGCCCCTCACCCCCTAGAAGGCTCTCGTGTCGTCACACCACTGCGGCTTCAAGCCCGAGGGGCCCCTGGCTGCCCGCTGGGCTCTGGGGGCAGGGCCGGGTGCCGCAGGGTGTCCTCTGTGGTTGCAGGTTAACGAGGGCGAGCCGAAGGTGATGTGGCTCTCGGGGCTGCATGTGCCGGAGGCGTACCTGACCGCCCTCGTGCAAGCCACCTGCAGGAGGAACTCCTGGCCCCTGGACCACTCCACCCTCTACACCGAGGTGACGACGTACCGCTCCGCGGATGACATGGCTGAAGTCTCTGCTCAAGGTAGGCGTTTTTATGATTATCTGGCAAAAATAATGAAGCAGTGAATTGATGAGAGAGAGACAAATTGCCTGGCATACCGAGTATGTGATTTCAATTATACCTCTGCAGGCAATACCTTTTTTTTTTTTTTTTTTTTTTTGCATTTCTGCAAAAAAATTGCATTTTGCATTTCAGAGTTCACAGGATTCCAGGCTGGAAGTAGCCGGTTCTGGTTTCTGTTGTCCTGCTCAGCTCCCCTTTGCGCCCACGTGCGCGCCTTCCTTTGAACTTCCACTTCGCCCTTGCTCCCTCTCTCACTAGAGCTTTTTTCTTAGTGGCTAGAACATTACCAATCATAGCAGGTTTATAAAGATCTAGTTACATCACAGATAATATATTGAAATATATTGCAACCAAAAGTAAATACAACTATGTATGATTTATTGTTTCAATAGATGTCCCTGACGAGCACTGCTCCAGTTGTTGACTATAACAAACCCTGGGGAAAGGGGCCAGCTCAGCAATGCGTTTGAGTACTACATGTGCTTGGGAACAAAGGAGGAAAAAAAAATCTGATTGTTTTTGCTAAATCTAACTTTCAGTTAAAAATAAAAGTCACTCCAGGGTAGCTTACCTAGACTATTCTTTATTTACTGACATTTAATCAAAATGCTTGGTATGTGTACCAGAACAACTCTCTCCCAACCCTTCACCTCTTGTCAGCATGATCTAGCCAACAGTCCCATAGGAGTGAAAAAGCTCTCAGACAACTCAGCTATTGCTTGGGCAAATAATGGGAGGATGGCACCCACCGTGGGGAAGAAAACTGCAAGAAAAATCAATATTTATTCCTAATACTGTTTAGCATATGTAGTGCAACTGAGACAATTTTAATTTGGAAAAAAAAAAAAAAAAGAGTTCTAAACACAGTAGGTCACAGTTGTATTACTAAAAGAACCACCACAGGTAAACACACCTCTGTGTAGCTGCAGTTTGAAATGTAGGGATTTTGTCAGGACTGTGTGCTGAGGACAGCTGCTGCGGGAGCAACACTCGTCTTAAACTGACTTTTCAGTAGCTGAATTTACACAAGATGTTGCATTTTCTGCGTGGACAGGCTGCTGCTTTGTTTCGGGCCTGTTTCTGGAAGGAGCAGACTGGGACGTGGCGCAGCGCTGCCTCACCAAAAGCAAGCCCCGCGTGCCGGTGGTGGAGCTGCCCGTTCTGAAGATAATCCCCGTGGAGGCGCACAGGCTCCGGCTCCAGGTACCGCTCCCCGGGGCACGACAGCCCCGTGCTTGTTACCCCCTCCTGCTTTCCCCCGCCCCGCCCCCAGCAGTGCTGTATCCTTTAGTCTATCACTCACGGGCGCAGGTTAACACTCCCCCTTACCTGAGCCAGCATTAAGGTTTTTATTTTCTGGCTCAAGGGAGTTAAAAACTTTGCTGCCTCTTTTCCATTCAGGCACTATGGGACAGGCCTCTTGGGACACTCTTACACTCCACTACACCTTGAATTATTTCCCATTACCAGTTAATGACATAAAGAATGTTTACATTTTCTGAGTATCAGGTATTTAAGACTTCTAACAAGAAAAGTGACTTTCTGAAGGCAGACATCTCTCCTAGAGCCCCTTCTCAGCTCCAGTTTCATGTAGTACTTCACACCCTACTCAGTGTCCTTCCTTCCTCTGCACTCTTTTAGAACACCCTCCGGACACCCGTGTACACAACCTCCCTGAGAAGGAACGCGATGGGCGTTGGCCTGGTTTTTGAAGCTGACCTTCACACCACAAAGCACATCTCCCACTGGGTCCTTCAGGGCGTTTGTCTCACCTTGAATGCAGACTGACAGTTTGAAGTTATTTCCCCACAGAATCCAACCACTGCAGGGGATCAAACTAGGAGAAGATTCACACCACAGGTGGGAGAGGTTTTTTTGAGCACATTTGCCTTTAACTAGCATGACATACGAGTTAATACTATCAATAAACACATCTGAAGAGAGAAGTGGTTTTTGTAATTTGCATTTCCTCTTAGACAGGCTCCAAGTTGGTCTCTGTAAGTAAGTATCTCACACACACAAAGACTGGGGTTTGCCCATAGGGTTGTAAGAAGTGTTTTTAATTGCCCAAAGCATCACTTCTGCTGTGCTTAGAAGCGGTGCCTTCCATCCTTGAACAAGCAGCAGGGTAGATCAGTCATACAACAGATTGCCATAAAAATATGGCAACAATCACCAAAGAAGCCAAAACCAAAAAACTGGTTACTGCAATACACTTCAAAATAGTAAACCACAGACTAACAAACTTTCTTTAACCAACTTTTCTCCAGGAACATGGCTTCTCCCTACCCCCCTGCCCTTCATGATACAAATCCTACCCCCCAACCAGCACGGCCTCACACTGCAGAGCGTTTCTTGGGCTTCAGAACAGCGAGCGACTGAGTCGTGAGAGTGCGGGGGGCGAGGGGATGTTGGAACCTGCTCTGGCCGGGAACACCCTGCTGTGAGGCGCCATGCTGCACGGGAAACTCAGCAGTACCACAGTGGGGAAGAACAGCTTCTGTCACCCTGCCAGCGCCTCGGGGGCAGGCTGACAGAGGGACAGGGAGCCGGGGCTCCAGAGGGAGACACACACCAACACAGCGGCAGAAAAAGCTTACGAGGGGCAGAGTACAGCTGGCAAGGGGAAGGAAAGAGGGCAGGCAGGGATCCTTCACCAGCCTTCACAGAGATTACGCGTTCCGAGGTTTCGAAGGCACATCATAAGCTTAGCAGCATTTGGGAGCCGTTGTTTCTTGCTGGTCCTACTCAGAGGCTGCAGACAAGAGCGAAGCAGAGGTGAGCTGGAGGCGCTGATCAGAATTTAAGAAAACTGGTCAAATATGTGCACCTTTCCCAAAATTACATACTCTCACAGCTCGCGGTATGCCTTTCTTTCCTAGGGAAAAAAAATAATTAAAAAATAATCAAGTAGTCTAACAGGTGTTGGGTCTACCTGTTGCTTACTAGGGAGGAGCAGGGGAAGCAGGGCAAGTGCAAGGCGAGTCCGTCCCCATCCACGAAGGTGAGTGTCGAGGATGCCAGGTTTTCTGCCTGTAAGAATTGGTTACATCACTTACATTTAAAACTAAATATATTTTAGAGGACAGCTCAGGTTTCTAAGCTGGCAGAAGCCAGCACTGTCTGATAATGCCCAGAACAAGACTAAGGTTTTCAGGAAACAAGAAGAAACCCTTTACAAAAAAAGTGCAGGTTAGAGCATAAAGAACCATTTCCATATTGGATAGACAGTTACGTTTTCTCCCTGGAAAAGGAGCTCTGAGCCAGTATGGAAGGTGCTACAAGTGCAGTGTACTGACTAGTGTAAAATGTGTGATGGAGCCATTCAGGTTAAAATAAAACAAAAGTCAAACACACAAACACCCCCCCTCCCCTCCCCCCAACAACCCCGTGTTCATACTTGTCTATGAGGAGCACTAACCCTTTTAAAGAGTGCTTTGTCCCCCCCCCACCCCCCGCCCCATTTTTCACTTAAACAAAGCCACAAACCAAAGCGTTTAGGATTAATCAAGTAACACTTGCTGGGACTCTCAGGATTTGGAGAAAGAAAAACTGTGAACACAATTTGCAATCAAGAGCATGTGCACGTGAAGGAAAAGACACCCTCAGTTCATTTTAAAGTGTACGTACATCTGCACTATTTCCAATGCTACTGTGTGAAAGGCTTTGTTATGGAGATGTTTGGGTATGAAGTGCTTACATACACAGTGAAGACAAAAGAACCACTGCAAGTTCATACTTCAACAGCCAATACATACCGCTGCAGGTTTAGAGTTAAATTTGTTTTCACTAATATTGATTAATAATGCAGCCTGCAGCCTGTGCCTTTGTCCACGTGTGTAGTTACATAAATGGAGCAGTGCTCAGAAGCAAGCGGTCAGGTACCCCTGATTTGGCCACAGCATTTAGTAGTTATATACCTTGCCATATGAACACAGTCCTATTAGGTTTCATTAGAGGAGCATAATCTATTAATGATGTATCTGGAAGAAGTTTGGCATGCATGGGGCATCAAAAGAAACTTTACTGCAGGTGCTCTTTATCCTACAGGATCACAGTGCATAAACAGCCACAGAGTAGAGCGTTTCAGTGATTTACTCAAACAGTTCTGTCTGTCCCTGAGTGCTTTCTGACCACTTTGCTGCCATGGACCTGATCCACCGCCAGCGTTTCCACCTCCGGCTGAGGCTGGGGCGGCGCGGCGTGGTGGATGCGATGCGCCACCCCGATGTGCGCCTTGTGCGGCTTCTCTCGGGCTGGGCTCTGCGATTCACCGGATGCACGATCCGAAGCAATAGGCGGAATAACTAACGGCCTCTCCTTAATAAGATGCACCTCTGCCGTTTCCCGGGCCAGCAGAAACGGAGTGGGATCGGGCATGGCATCCACAGGCTCCCTTAGCAGCAGCTTCCGGCTATCCGACCCTATTCTGTAGGCCTCTTCAAACTCGGGGTTCAGCGGTGTCGACAGGCTCTTCTTCATTCTGCGCCGCGGAGTCTCCGGCAGTTTATCTTTGGGAGGGGACGGCTTATAGTTGGACAGGACGGGGCTGCCAGAAGGGGTCCCCTCCGAAGTCCCACTTGAACTCATCAGCTTCTTCTTAGTCGCATGCAGTTGAGAAGTTAAATAAGCAATAGTGCTCGCTCTCTGCTCTAGTTCACTTGACAGCATATTGAGCTTATGGCTTTTCATTTTTAACTCTTCCAAGTACTTCTTTTCTCTTTCTTTAATTGTGTTTTCCAGCACCATTATCATCGCATTCTTTTGTTCGAGTTCTTTCAATAATTCATTATTTTCAGCCTCTTTGACTTTCAGCTGAGCCTCAAGATCTTCACACTTTCTTTTGAGTTCATCACTTCTTGAACTACCAATTCCTAGAAGAATAGGAAAAGCAGAAGTGTTTCAAGTTAACAATAGCCACTAAGTAAAATCGTGCAATAGGGTTCCTTTTGCCATCCCAAAGCCATAAGAGAAATCCCAAAGACTAACTTCAGCTAATGATCTTAAAAATGACTTCAGAAGCACCACGACAGCTTTTAAAGAAGTGATGATGAGATAGTGCCACTCACCAGGGTTTAACAGCGTTGATACTAAGCAGAGACACTTCACATGTTCTGGGGAACACGGATTACAGAAACTGTGCTTGCTGAACTTGGCTCAACATCGGAGCCATTTTGCAAATCCTCTGGTTATTAAGAGGAGCTCCTCCCACTGCAAGTCCCAGACTGGCTGGCATGAGGGATGGAGCAGCTGCCACAGGCCAGCAGGAAGACTCGCTCGGGCTGTAGCTTCACCCTGTGAAGCCCGTGACTCTACAGCAGAGCTGAGTCTCTTCGCTAGGGCTTTGCTGCTGTGGAAGTCTCTGAGGGGATCAGGTGTCCAACCCTGCTGCTTTCTCTTCACCAGAGTGTGACGCATCACCCCGCAGCACAGGGGAGGACGCCCCTGGGGCAGGCAGGCTGACGCCCTCAGCACCCTCACGCCGAGGGGGTGGGGGGCGGTTCTGTCGCTCCTCCCTCAGTGTTACAGCGGGACGGCTTCCCAGCGGTTCCGCAGAGACCGGCAGCCTGAACCCCAATAACAAGCACTGTCCCCTCCACAACGGGCAGTGTCTGAGCTTGGCACAGCAGCAACACGGTGGCATCACTGACACATCACCCACTCTGAAAATCCTGCAATAGGAAGCACCTGAGCAACATTAAAGTGTCAAGAAATAACGCTGAGCACGTGCAAAGCTGCTCAGTTGCTTTGCTAAATTTGCCCCTGTTCTCTCGTACCTGCAATACATGTCCTGTCCCACACTGTCCCTGATCCAGGAGGTCACTCCCAGGGAACATTTTATTCCTGTGCTTCAACTGTTTGATAACATAATACATCTGAAACAACTAGAAACTAGTGCATGTGTGTATATCTATCGATCTATCTAAAAGCTTTGTGGTGCAATTACAGTACCAGCTGTTTTAATAATAGTCTCCCTCTTCTGCCCCTAAAATTCATGCCCCATGTTCCCTTACAGCATGCAGGGAACTGACTGTCTAGTGAGAGAGAGGAGTCAGTAGTTCTACACTCTATTCGTGGCTCTTTCAAAGATTTCCTGTGTGACCTTGGTCAAGAAATTGTGACATTTACTTCATAAATAACAGCAAGTCTGGAAAGTAGAAAACTACTCTTATGCCTTTAGAATTTATACAGTCAACATCCCATGTGCAAAGTAGTCTCACCCACTTGTAATGGAGAAGATACAAACATTGAAAAAGATGCGGAAGTTTAACACAAACATTAAAAGAAAAATACTATGTATTCCTTACCTGACAAGTCTGAACTCTTTACAGTCAGCTCATAGGTTAAATCTGAGGAAAAAAGTTGTTTATTTTTGTTAGAACATCATCATCTACCCCATACACCACCTGGTGAGCAAGTTTACAATGGCATACTTCAATAAAAGCATAACTAACTCTTCCCCCCACCAGAAGCAATAATAGGAGATTCACTGCAAATTATCAGATCTGTAAAACAACTGAAACTATCGCGTGACACTTTGCTTAATGATCACACATCACGCCCCGACATACAGGCTGGGCACCCTAACTGCGCCCTGGTGCTGGGCTTTGATGCTGACGTTTCACTGCTGAAGGAGGAAGCAGTTATTCCATTCCTGGGAAAAGAATTAAGCACCGAATCGGCATCAGCATCTCTCCCAGCTACCTGTGCAGTGCTGCTGCAGGCGGCGGATCTCAGCGTGCAGGCCTTTCAGTGTGTTGGCATGTTCTCGCTGGAGAAACAACAGATTCTTCTGGGCACTCTGGAGCTGGTTCTCCAGGTTTGAAGTTGCCATCCTGACATGCAGTTACCCTGTCAGTAAACATGCAGAATTGTAACAGTGAGTTATCTTGCACACACAAAGATCCTCACTGCAGCCAGGGCCAGCAGGAATAGCTGAATTCTCCTATGAATGAGTTGATATGCAATCAAGCAAATGCCACAAAATGTTCATGACTGTTTCAATTAGAAGTGCTCCAAGTTCACAGAAACCCTAATTATAGTCTAGGCCAGAGTAGTATAGGGAACCCATTTGTTTGGAGTTAACACATTTAAAGGATTAACTTCAGACATACTAAATCACTAATCCTGTTACAAGATAAAAGTAAAGTTCTGAAAAACTGGACTAGTATGTCCCCTGTCTTGTTGGAGGTTTTCCACTTACCTCCAGGGACACAGGAATTAGTAACATCCCTGGACAACAAGCACTAAAATGCAACATCTCTAAAGAGAAATGCAAAACAGGGAGTCTAACACGCAGCTGGGCCCAGCGGCACCGTCATGGACGCGGCTGCTACGGGGCACCTCAGCCCGGACGCGCTCGCTGGGAGCTGCACGGGAGAAAGCTCCGGCTGCTGCTGGCTGCTATCGCATTTCCTCAGCCGCGCCAGGGCAGGATCCGGACCCGGTGCGGACCCCACGGCACCGGAGACTGGCCGTGGGCCACAATGATGTGGAACCAGACAACTGACAAGGACAAAGTTTCATTTAAAGAGAAAACAAAGAGATTTTTCTTGCTCAGGTTATGAGTATATGAGAAACTGTTACGCCACTGCGTTTTCCTTGCAGAACAGTCTTATAAAACTCCACGTGGACTGCAGCAGAGATCAGACTCAAATAAAGACAGAAATGATTAACCGTACGATGCCAAGAGGCATCCTTGAAGACCCCTGCACCACCAGTGTTACTACTAATCCCGATAAGGCAACAAGGGTTTTACATACACCCACAGGCCAAAGAGCTGAGAAAGATCTGTCTGGTAGAGCTGGAGATACAGACTCCCAAATGAATTCCCTGATAGAAAGGTAAAAATAGCTCCTCGAACCAGGCGCAGGCAGATGCTTCCTGTGGAGAAGCACACGCTGTGCCCCGGGGCTCCTCTGGGACCTTTAAAGGAGCACCTGGAGAAGCACTACCAGGAGCGACCAAGGTCCCCAGTGAGATCTAGTCACCAAGTCTGTCATGACACAATTCTGTTTATTGCCCTCTTTCCTAGTGAAATTTCAACTCTAAAATAAGTATACTAATGAGAAAAGGCAACCATGACAGTTTGCAATCCTCCTGCAGCCTCAAAGCACAGAATCACTCAGGTATACGTTCAGTAGTTCTTGAGTTTCACTGTGTGATCACTACCCCTCTCTGCATACGCAGAGCGCGCCGTGTTGCTACAGCTGTGCTGCACAGTGCTGCTCCACCCACAGCTGGTTTATAGAGGCTGCTGGCTCTATGTGAGAAGAACTTTCCAGAAATATATGTCCTCAGTAACTCCACATTACTACACTTTAAATTTCTTTAGCGAGAAAGCTGTCATCCTTGAGAAGCCTTCTGAAAACTCTGGGAAGCCAGCCTTCTCTTCAGGAGCACGATGACAGCACAAAAATAGGTGCACAGAGAAATTCTAGAGCCAGGCTCATGGGGACAGCAGAGCAACAGGCAGTAGCACAGTGTGGGAATTACAGAAGCCAGGACAGGAAGCTTCTGGGGGATGGAGCAGCCCCAGGAACTGCCACAGCCCCCGTCCTACCACAGATGAGGACGGGGCTCATCGAGTGCCTCTGCGTGCTCCCCGGGCACGGCTGATGCTCTGGCCTGCCCGGGCTGGGAGCCACTGCAGCCCCCTCCTGCTGCCACCTAACCCAGCCACGGCGGGGACTGATAACCCGGGCAGGGACACTGATACATTGGTTACGACACAGGGTTAAACACTGCTGATGCATGAGAAGCATTAGCTCTGTCATTACAGTAGGAAAGGCTAAATTCAGTCCTCTGTGTAGTTTTGTAAAAACAATTACAGTGTTTAGGTTACAGAGATAAGTAAAGAATCAGGACTCCCGTTGCCTGGACAACCATGTGCAATGGCATTACAACCACAGGACCACACACTGTGCATAAGAGAGACCTTAATTCTGCCCATGGCTGCCTCGTGGGCACCTTAATGGGTTCATCTTGCCATCTCAAGTGTCTGCCAGTGGGCTCTTTCTGGTAAGTAGTTTTATGACAAAAATCTGACTCTATGAGTTTAAAATTGGTAGAGCATATACTCAGAGAAAGTAACATACTTTTGTAATTCTTAAACGTAACACAGCTCTGTGTTTGATTTTATACTTTCTACTCAAAAGGCTGCCAGACCCAGTGCTTCTGCACCTTGGTAAAGCACTAACGCCCCTGGGGTGGTGGTGGGGAAACACACACACAGAGCTTTCCTGAGTCCATCTGCGACCTTAACTGACACCGTCATCAACTGACTTATCCCTACAGAAGCATATATTTGGTTGTAAAAAAGTAAAGGCGTAAAAGACTTTCAAGGATTCCACTTCTGTGCAAGGAGCGAACAAGAGCTCTTGGTTACTTTATAACAGAGATCAAAGATTAAATTCAGTGCTCAAGAAGGAGGGTAAGGGTGCCAACTTGTGCTTTGCTGAGAGGAACAGGTCATTTCGCAATGACCACCATTTGCAAACAAGTAAAAATTATGGACTAAAAATATTCTAAAAAGAGAGTTTATTTCTTATTTAGACAACCCAGAAACACGTTGTGCATACAGGCCCTGGCTCTACAGCTTCTGAAGAGCAGCTCGTCTGAGCTGGGATCGCTTTGCACCGCCAGCAGCCGATGAGTGGGGACGCTCCGTCTGCTGGGACCCCCTCACCGTCCACAGCCTTGGAGATTATCTGAGGGTGGACTACACAGTCCACAGCAATTACCAGGGGGCACCATTCATTTTAAGGATTGATGATATTTTAGCTGTGTTATACTTTCCAAGTGACATCATGATGTTTGCAAAGCTGACTTCAGACAGGCAGAAGCATTACTGAATCATCCAATTCCTTAAGTGACCATTATACTCTCACCGACTGAATACCAGATCAGAACAAAACTTGCAGGAGTCTGTGCTGCCACTGAAGCTGGAGCTGACTGTGGTACACTAAGGCTCAGAAAGGAATTTCAGTCAAGACATGTATTCTCCAAAAGAAACTCTAAGCACTGACAGTGCTAGGTGAAAGAGCAGCCTACACATAATATCCCAAAGCCTTTACCATCACCATGGTTACTAACGGTGGCTTTCTGCCTGTAACTATAAGAGAACAGAAAGCCTTCATCACCAGCAACAAACAGTATGTGTTTATAACTCAGTCCTTGCAAATCAATGCATTTTTTAAAAACTAGTTTCTAAATGTTAGAAAAGGCAAAACAAGGCTGTCACCATTAACCTCAATTGTTTTTTCACCTTGATCTTTTCCATCTGAAAGATCACATTAGGATTACCTACTCTGAAGGAAAAAAATAATCAGAGGCAGGCTAGTAATAGGTTTAGGAAGAAAATAAAAATTACCATCACCAGAGCATCATCTTCCCTGCAGCACTGGTAAGTTAAGCAGTGCGAGCAATTAAACCAATCCCCTTTGAGTTTTAGCTGCAGCCCCTCTGCACTAAGTAGTTTCTCTCCTCGGTGGATGAAGGATCAGGGGGCTGACTTTCCCAGCAGCCTTCTGCAACCCTGCTACGCTTTTCCTCCTCCCCGAGCTCAGCTGTCTGCCTGCCCTGTCTCCTCTACTCCAAGGGAAAGCAACGGCCACCGTGGTGAAGTTACAGCTTCTGCAGAATTTCTGGGCAGCAGCTCCAGGTCAAACCCCACTCTACCCTGGCCAGTCACGTCTGTTTAGACAGCACATACAAACACCCTGCAATCGGTGCACATGTGTTCTGGGAAACAGCCCAAAACCATCTACCACAAAAACAGGGAAAGAAGAAAGTGTCTTGCATAGGCAGTCGCTATACTGAGATGCTTTTGCTACGAAACCTGCTTAGAATGGCACAAATTAGTATTAACAACAATATATTCCAAGCCACCGTTCACTTTCTACCTATTTTACACCAAATCTTAAACCACAAATTATTGTGTTTTATTATTCAAGACCTACCATTATTCAAGACTGATATATGGATTAAATGGATTTCAACTGAATATGCATTATCTCTCAAGTTCATTAGCACAGCATTAAAAGTATTTTTGATTGCTTTGGAAATCAAACTTAAAAGGAAATTTCTATTGCACAAATAAGGGAAGAAAAAAATTCACACCTGCAGTCTGAATAGCTCTCAGATACCCACAGATCATCTGCATTTTGCCCAGTTCTAAATTCAGCAATATTTTTCCCTGCAGGATATTTTTTAGCCAGTGCCTAACTAAAAAGCTGGCCAAACTGCCAAAGCAGAAGCCAGATAAAGAGAGAATATTTCTCTTTTCAGAATAATAGAAAACTGGTTTATGCCCCTAGAGCTAAATACAACTGAATTGGGCAAAAAAAATGAAAATTGCATAGAATATACAGTAAGTTAGGCCAACAACCTAGCCAATTAACTTGCTGTTGGGCAAGTTTATCAAACAGATCATTTCTGAAGATCAGAAACATGCGGTTAAAAGGAGGGGAAAACCCTCTCAGCATGACATTGCTCTGGGTCAGACAAGAGAGAGAAGTCTCTTCAGACACCTGACTAAAGATTACCTTAAAGAGCAGGGAGACACCACCTGCATTTTGTAGAAGGACACAGCCTGGGACAGAATTAGACCTCCTGGCTGTGACCCCCATGATGCTTCGCTGAACAGGCCGAGAGGGGACATTACTTGCTTCAACAGAGACTCAGTGCTATTCGTTGTCCAAATTGTTATGATTTAGTGTGATCATGTTCTTAAAAAGCCCACCCAAATCACGTATTTCAATTTAAAGCATACTGGCTAAAAACAGTGTTCTGTGGGATGTGGTGGTGGTGTTTTTTTGTTTTGTTTTGTTTTTTTGTTGTTGGTTTTTTAA